GGCACTTCAGACTTACCTACTACACTCTCTACAACAGTGTCTCCCTCTAAAGCAGTTAGGTCACCCACTATAATTCTTAAATGGTTCAAAATTCCCTACACATTTAACATCTTCCAAAATCTATCTCTCCCCTCTACCCTTATTTTAAATCTTTTAATTCTTGAATTTATGCACTTATATTTCCTGGTTTTCATTCTATAATTGAACATTTAATATTACCGCTACTCCTTCTTTAGCTCTAAATCTATCTGTAGATGAATGGTTCACAAAACCGACACGTTGATAAATTAGACACATGTGCAACTCTTGGGTATCTTTATTAAGGAAACGTTTCGCCACACAGTGGCGTCATCAGTCCACACAAAGGAGAATCTTGAAAAACAGGAGTAGAATGAGGTAATCAGTCCCTCAACCTTGAGTCGATGTGGTCAGTCCATCAATCTTGAATAGATTACGGCATACATGCGGAGAAGGAGCTTATAAACCGCAGACAGGAGAGGTGCAGCAGTCATAGGTGGTGTCACATTTGTTCAATGTGGAAGTAGGTCATGCCCAAGAATTAGGAAAGCGTAGAATTCCCAAGTATTAAGATCCCAAGAAGTTGCAGTGTCTGACAGCATTGTAGATGAATGGTTCACAGAACCGTTTCCTTAATAAAGATACCCAAGAGTTACACATGTGTCTAATTTATCAACGTGTCGGTTCTGTGAACCATTCCTCTACAATGCTGTCAGACACTGCAACTTCTTGGGATCTTAATACTTGGGAATTCTACGCTTGCCTAACCCTTGAGCACGACCTACTTCCACATTGAACAAATGTGACACCACCTATGACTGCTGCACCTCTCCTGCCTACGGTTTATAAGCTCCTTCTCCGCATGTATGCCGTATTCTATTCAAGATTGATGGACTGACCACATCGACTCAAGGTTGAGGGACTGATTACCTCATTCTACTCCTGTTCTTCAAGATTCTCCTTTGTGTGGACTGATGAAGCCACTGTGTGGCAAAACGTTTCCTTAATAAAGATACCCAAGAGTTGCACATGTGTCTAATTTATCAGCTCTAAATCTATCAGAAACACCTGACTTACTCCATCTTTCACTCCCCACAGAAACTCCCCAGTTTAGCTTTGTTTCACTTAGATTTAGGACATCCAGCATCTTTTTATTCATAACCTTTGAACGTTTATTCTTTTTTTTATTAACATATCGGTCGATTCCCACCAAGGCAGGGAGGCCCGAAAAAGAAAAACTTTCATCATCATTCACTCCATCACTGTCTTGCCAGAGGGGTGCTTTATGCTACAGTTATAAAACTGCAACATTAGCACCCCTCCTTCAGAGTGCAGACACTGTACTTCCTATCTGAAGGACTCAAGTCCGGCCTGCTGCTTCCCTGAATCCCTTCATAAATGTTACCTTGTTCACACTCCAACAGCACGTCAAGTCCTAAAATCCATTTGTTTCCATTTGCTCCTATCTAACACACGCATGCTTGCTGCAAGTCCAAGCCCCTCACACACAAAACCTCTTATACCCTCTCCCTCCAACTTTTCCTAGGTCGACCCCTACCCCACCTTCCTTCCACTACAGATTTATACACTCTCGAAATCTTTATAATTTGTTCCAGCCTCTCTACATGTCCAAACCATCTCAATAACCCCTCCTCAGCCCTCTGGATAATAGTTTTGGTAATCCCGCACCTCCTCCTAATCTACAAACTACGGATTCTCTGCATTATATTCACACCACACATTGCCCTCACACATGATATCTCCACTGCTTCCAGCCATGATTCACACCCATGTAAGAGCGTTTGTATAACTATACTCTCATACACTCCCCTCTTTTCTTTCATGGACAAAGTTCTTTGTCTCCACAGACTCCTCAGTGCACCACTCACTTTTTTTCCCTCATCAGTTCTTTGATTCACCTCATCTTTCATAGACCCATCTGCTGACACGTCCACTCCCAGACATCTGTTTACATTCACCTCCTCCATACTCTCTCTCCAGTCTGATATGCAGTCTGAGCTTTGCTCAGACCTACACAACACTATTGTCCTCAAAGATTTGTTTAAGTTATACCATGAATTAAGGAAAGATCCTGGACTTCACCTTACGGAACAGACAAAGCAAATGCGACTGTAATTATGGACAAGGTAGATTACAGTGTAAAAGTTAGCATGTTATTAGAAGTCGGGGTTACGTACGTGCCTCTTAATGGTACCCCTACTGAGATACCTAAAAATTCTCAAACTGAAGATGAGGAATACCAACATGTACCTATTCTGAGGAGTCAGTCTGGCCCAGTGAGGAGAGTAGAAGTAGAAGTACCTCTAGTTGAAGATTGAGACACTTATGCAACATATGGGAATCTTTATTGAAGAAACGTTTCACCACACAGTGGCTTCATCAGTCCAATACAAAGCAGAAAGGTGTAAGGAGAGGCAGACTGATTACCCCAACTCCTCTCCTTACACCTTTCTGATTTGTATCGGACTAATGAAGCCGCTGTTTAGTGAAACGTTACTTCAATAAAGATTCCCATATGTTGTATAAGTGTCTCAATCTTCATCGTGTCAGTTTTTTAAACCACTGATCACAAGTACCTCCAGTGTTGAACATTTTTTCATTCTCGAAGAGGAAGTTAAATTTTGATACTTACAGAGGTAGGTTTGGCGAAGATTGAAGAAATATCGTATATTCTCTCCCGACCTTAGTCAATTTCCTTTTTTAGGCAATAACGCCACTGCTATACATTTGTCTAGTTCTATTTTTGTCTTTGTGATAACATGAATGCCAGCATGTTTGTTTTGAATGCTGCTTTGTGAGATTGCTGGAAATGCTGGTTGCAATTTTGTCATAGCATTTATCAAAATCAAACCGCACAAATTTCTCAATCCTTGTTGCGTCATCTTGACTGTTTTCATTAGACTCTGTGCTGCTTTATGCTGCTAGTAAACCAGCTGCATTCTGTGATATACTGAGCTGTTGAATTCTCTCTTGAGTTTCAGTTCATTCTCAATTTTGTCATTGTATCTGTTAAATGATTCAACCGCTGCATTAACATTAAAAAAACTATTTTTTTTATATTGGAAATTGATATGTTGTATTCATGCGTTGCTTCTTGAAGATATGACATTGGTGAAGTACACTGCGCTATTGTGTGGGATCCAGGAAATAACATCTCGTCAGCCGATGTACGGAGCCTGCCTCCATCACGTCTTTGTCAAGGCAATTCATCTTCCTGGCCACCCTGAGGCTGAAGTATTTCCTGACAACCCTCTCACTTATCTTTAGCCTTAATTTTCAGCTATGCCCCATGTACCTCTCTCTCACCTCTGTCTATCCTTGTCTGTCTACCCTATCAATTCTTCCATGTATGTCGTTGTGTATGCCGTTATCATGTCTTCCATTTTCATCTTTCCTCTAATGTTATCAGATTCAGTTCCTTCAGCTTCTTCTCATCGCTCATACCACTGTATTCTGAAAGCAGTCACCTTCCATACCTCTGCACTTTCTCCAGTTACTTAAAATGCTTTATCACGTGAGGGTTTAATGTTGGTGGTGTGTACTCCAAGATGGGCCTCATATATGTTGCACAGAAGGTCTTGAATAACTATGTCGATATTTCTGAAGACTACTATTACATTTGCCAAATGAGTGAGATCTTCAATCTCTGTCCCCCAACTTTGTACTCCGAGTCTGGTCTTCTTGCCCCTTCTCCAGTCTTCATAACCGTGCACTTGATGGGGTTGAATTGCAGTAGTCTCTTATTTAGCCTATCTTTCAGTTAGCCCATATCCATTTACAATCTGTTCTTGCCTTTATTGTTTTGTTTATTCTCCTCGTTAGTTTTACAGCATCAGTAAACAGAGGAAGCATCTACCTCAGTCACATCTGTTATATCATTCACATATCAGAAACAGCACTGGTCCTAATACCGATCATTGCAGAACAGCGCTAGTCACTCTTTTCCTTTTCTGACATCTCTTCGTGGGAAATCACTCTTGTTTCCTCCTACGAATGTACTCTTTGATGCACAGGAGTACATTTCCTATTATTTCTTGGTGCACCTCAAGTTCTTGGTCTAATCACTTGTGAGGTACAGTATCACAAGATCCTGACTCTTGAACGACGAGGGCTCTTGCCTTCGCAGTTCAGGAATTTCCATACCCATCCCTTTCTCCTGTCTCACTTCTGTGAACTTGTAAGGGATCTCTAACAGGTTAGTAAGACAAGATTTGTCGTGCTGATTACTACATATTACACACATTTCATCTGTCTCTCATTCTTCAATATTTAATTCCACGAGAAATACGAAGTTCATTACTATATGGTCACTATCTCACAGTGGCTCTTATATTCAGTTTCACCTATTTCATATGTACTTGTGTAAATGAAACATCCAATCTTGCTGGGTTCTCCTCCTTTTTTCTCTTGTCATATCCTTGACATGTTGATATAATAGTTTTCCCTAACTGCCTCCATTATCCTATATCTTCATGTTTCCGGTCCTACATGTGGGTCCCAGTTCTCCCAATCAGTTTCTGATTGGGATCACCCATGATTATTAACTTCACTTTAGCGCTGTGAGCTCTCCTTGCTGCTTTTGCTAAGTTGTCAATTATTACTATATCGTTCTCATCATATTCCTGCCTTGGTCGCCTATTGGTTGGTGGAGAATTGTAAATCACTGCTAGATTATATATCAGGAACAATAGGCAGCAATTCTCAATAAGGCTTGAGGCGTTATCTCTGTCAAATTTGCTCTTCCCTTCAGAAGAATAAGTAAAATCCAAACATTAACCTTCCCTCCCTCCCATTAATAGCAATATCCCAATTAAGATCATTCTAATCCTTCACCCCGAAACAGATCCCTCATTCCCCAACACTAGATAATGACCAGATGTATCGACAACACATTTGACACTCAGTCTATCTTTTGTAATATTATGCACATTTCAGTTATATCAGTTTATTTTATTTTCAGGTACGACTGAAGAAAGCCAGTCTTTGATGCCTGTCAGTGAAGGACGTTCCTCACCTGAGAGAAGCTCGTGAATGAAGGGAATCGGTCATTTAAGAAAATTCGTTACAGAAGGAAACTTCTCAATAAAGAAAAGTTTTAAGGAAGTTTGTCACTATAGAGCGTTCATCAGTGAATTAAGTTGCTCATTAATGAAAGCTAGGTACAAATGGAATCTCATTAAAGTTCACTGATGAAGGAAACTCATCGTCGAGAGGGCATTGTCACTAAATGAACTCATTGAGAGTATTCATTAGTGATGAATAGGGTTTACATGTCAGCCTCACATGATAGTGAAGACTGGACAATAACTGTCAGCATAAGCTAATAGTGATGGCAATGTTTCATGAGCTAGTATTTATTTTAGTTTCTTAGCAAACACCATCATCGGTATGATCATTAGCAAGAAGAGGAGCTCCACGAGCAGAGTTATCTACAGGAACACCAGCAGCTTTGACAGCAGCTGATTCTGAGAAACATTAACATATTCTGATACATTGGCTATAATCAGGAGCTATATCGGTAACAGAATATTACAAGATTCTTTCTCTAATTCGCCATGGCGACAATAACGGAGGAAGAAAGAAATGGATTTAGATTCATCAAAGCTTTGAATGTCTGTGGTACATACACCCTGTATAAAACATTTGTTTGGGGAACTCCAGGTAAACTCCCTAGTACAAAGGTGGATGTATACTTAGAGAGTTTGACATCTCCTCCATCAACAGCATTCTACCTAAAAGCCAACAGAAATCAAAAACGGTTTGGCAAAGTACAAATGGAGACGATTCGTAATAGTAAAGATGAATCGGAATTTGACACGTCACTGCTGTATATGATTATCAAACTTGGCTGTGAGAAAGTGGCAACTATTAATGACGACAAATGGATTATTAAAAGTTCTGAAATGGAATACTTCATCACAGCTATAAAGGACATGAGAAACGACATTCTTCACGGTCCACTTGAAACTGATGATACGACGCTCCAGGATAACACAAAAACATTAGAAGATCTTCTAATTAACTGTCTACAGACTGCTGGTGTCCGATATAATATAGACAAGACAGAAGTGGACAAAGAGATAGATTATGTCACAGATAAGCTGAAAAAAATTATGAATGAGATTCCTGGAAACAAAGATTTATTGAAACACTGTAGTGACAAACTTAAGAAGCTTATGCTACATGACACCCAGGAAAAACTGAGGGAGCAGTTTAAAAAAATAACTTACATCAACCCACTGTCTCTTATTTGTAAAGATCTGCAACTTGAAGTAAAAGAAATTTTTGTTGATGTCAATCTCAAACAAGAAAATGACGATGAACAAGTTGACTATCATGACCTGCTTGTCCAGAAGACTGCCACTCAACATGGTTCCTCTGCAAAACCTCAGATAATTTTGCTTGAAGGTTTGGCAGGAAGTGGGAAGACAACTCTAATGAAGCTTGTAGCACAGGAATGGAAATCAGGTGCTCAAAAAAAGATCAAAGGTTTAGATGATTATGAACTTGTGTTTTGGTTACAGTGTAAGGACTCAACCATGGTATCCTACCATGATATCCTGAACCGGAAAATGCCAGGTGTCTCAGCAAAATTCAGAAATCTCTTGCCAGGACTAATAGAACTTTGTGAAGTTCTAATTATCATTGATGGCGTGGATGAACTTAATGACGACTCTCAAAAATTAGTCAACAGTGTCTTAGATGAATTTAAAAAGTTTACTAACAAGACTATCATTTTCACTTCAAGACCAGAAAAACTTGAGACATTCAAGAAAGATATTCCTACTGAATATGACGTAACAACTGTTAAACTAGAGGGAATAAATGATAGCGAAGTGGCAAAGTTCATTCAGCTAACACACCAGGAGATGGTAAAGCAAACGCGAGGTAATCGCAGCACACAAAAACTGATAAATCAGGTGTTGGAGGCAAAATATATTCAGAAATACTTGGCTACACCAATGAATTTGACATATTTAATTTACATCTGGGACCAGACACCTGATGAACTGAACCTAATGACTATCACTCAAACAGAACTTTATGATTATATTCATCAACTGCATCAGTCTAAGTTACTAGAGAGATTGGCAAACTCTCCTGGTACCACAATCATGAATTTAAGAGAGCTTAAGAGTAGACTTCAAATAATTTTGAAAGAGTTGTATTTGATATCACTTAAAATCCTCTCACTTGAGACTTTGACCGTTGATGAAGAAATGAAAAACAGCCTGAAATCTGTTTGCAAAAATCAAAGTTTGTCTTATGATGAAATTTTTTCAGCGTTTTTGTATTTTGAGAAGCCATACCCATCATATTATAAGGAAATTTTGGATTACTTCGGTGCTCTGTATATTGTGATGACAATCAAAGACCAGCATCAGCCTTCATTCACTGACTCCTTTAGGCAATGTTCAAATCCAAATATGTCTTCAAATCTTCCTACTACAACTTCATCAACAGCGTCTACATCAGCACCAGCAACACCTACATCATCACCACCTGTCGGGATCCGAGGAGTGTTGCAACAGGCAACCAAAAAAGATAATTCAAACTTGACCAAGTACCGGAATGTTTTTATGCATGTGGCTAGGATGCTATTTAACTACCAATATGAGTTATCTGAGGCCATTAAGGAAGTTGTCGACCTGTTGCATGAGTTGGGGATGGACGATGACCAGTGGCTCGACCTCTTAGGGAACATCAAAACGAATCCAAATTCCATCAAAGTTATAGCTGGCTTCTTAAATCCTAGAGGAAATATATGCATAAGAGATAATCGTGTTGGGAGTTACGCAGCTCTTCTACCACATATAGTTCCATCGCAGCTGCACATTGACATCAAAGGTGATCCTGACGGCCTCCCTCGACTGTTAGACCTGTTGGGTAACCTCAACAACCACCGCTGTTTGGAGTTGAAACTAAGACATCACTTCCTCCATGCAAACACCTCTTCGACCTCCGACAAAATCCTACAACATCTGGAAAATAAGTGAGTATTACTAGTGTTCATAATTCCACGTATTATAACATCGTTATCTCGATATTTTTTATTATCACTGTTAATGATATTATTTTAGTTAATAAGTGTATATTTTCCTACAAATTATAGTTGGAGTATAATGAATCTAACACTGTTGTAGACATTGTTGAGCTGTTACCGTTGTAATAAATGTTGACATTGTTATATATATTGACGTTGTTGTACCTGTCGAAATTGTTGAAATTTTTTTATTTGATTTAGGAGCTAGTGTTTTATATGCTAATCACGGAACGGGTGGGGCTCGAACCTTTCGCAAGCGAGACCTAAAACTCGCAGGTTTGTGCATTAACCACTCGGCCTGCTGGCTTTTAATAAGATTCATCACAGTAATGATAAGACCAGAAACCTGAACAAGGTTTGATAGATGAATCAACTCAGATTATTGTTCTTGTCAACGGTTGCGGAAGCGTCTAGAGATTACAGCAAAATAGTCTGAGAATGGAATACCCCTTTGTGAAACATATGAACAGCTGACCACTCAGCAGAGTCTGCCTGCTGGTTGTGCCAAACATCTACATGCCCAGGAACTCAGCAGAAAGTAATATAATTGTTTTTACTACAAATGTGGCACAGCCAAAAGTTGTATACGAAATACGAGGGGATGAGAATTAATTTTTGATGACCTGCAAAGTACCAAAGGAGTCTGAAACTGCCATGAATGGTGAGGTAAGCAGGACTGCAATATGTATAAATGCAATGAAAATTGCATGTAGTTCAGCTGTGAAAATGGTAGCCGATTTCAATAAATGACGTAGCACAACTCTGGAAACACTGCAGCAAACCCGACACCGTAAGACGATTTGGAATCATCAGTGTAAACTGGAATGGGATGAGACCAGAAGTGGTTAAGAAAAGGTGAGAGTTAAGAGTAAAGTTAGATGCCGGATAAACATATAAAAAAGGTAAATGAAAAGAAGTCAAGAGTAAACACAAAGAGAAAAGTGTCGGAGTAAGCAAACGTGGCAAGCAAATATAAGACCTCTAGTAATGTCCATTACCATCCTGTATGTAAAAGGATCATGAAGGTCATGACATGGCAATGTGAGGTTTCCAGGAAAGTCGTATCCCTGAACGAGATACTGGACCGTATCTCGTTCAGAGATACAGAAACCATACAGGGATAATGTAGCATTAGAGGCTAAAAACATCTTAAAAAGTAATATAATATGACCAAATGGGAAACACTGCCAGGAGAGGAGCTGCTATTAGAGAACAGTCAGCGCCTGTGCAAGCTACAGCAAAATTATTAACATAAAGTGACAATTAAATATTAGATCATTATTAAGCAGTAGAATAAGAGTGGTGCTAAGGACACAACCCTGAGGGATACCTGGACATGTTCAGGGATACCTGGACATGTTCAGGGGAAAACATATTATTTAGCCGGACACAGAAATGTCTCCCAGACAAGAAATTGTTAAAGAAAAGTAGCGGATTCCCCTGAAGGCCTAAGAAATGAGCTGGAACCAGGATGTTACGTTGCCATGTAGTCTCGTACGCTTTTTCAATTACAAAAAAAGAGTGCGATAATACAGATAATAAAGTAGTTACGAGCAAAGGCGTTACGATCGTAGGTGGAGTCAAGAGTAGCCCGGCCCTTGTGAAAGACAAATTGATGAGAGGAAAGACAATTAAATACCACGCTAAACGTCTTTACCAGACGTTCGATAGCGGGATGAATCATGACCCAAAGTTTATGTAAAGGCAACGCGTTTAAACAAGATTAAACAGGCGTAATAAAACTACGAGTGACATTGGATATAAACTCTGAAGCATACAACGATCAGCAAGTGGAAAATGTTGTTTCAAATTCTCGAAGCATTGAAGACACATTATAAGACTCTCTTATGCTAGAAGAAAAAATTTAAATTTCTGGTATATCTGGAGGAAAGAAACGAGGGACAGAGATACAGCCTGTGAAATATACGGGCAAGATAATTTACATTGCTGTGGCTAGAGATTTCTGCTTACCATAATTGTCAAACTTTTCTCACATTCTCTTTGACAAAGTTCTATATTTAGTTTATAACAGCCAGGGTTATTTATATATCTGATTAATTCTTTTTATTTATCTACATTGAAATGCATCCTGCACTTTTCCAACTACTTTTAGATTACCCAAATATTTTTGACAATCAGTCTGATAACAACAACAACAACAACAACAACAACAACAATAATAATCAAGTTATTCTACATAATTTTATGTCACGAACTTAATCATATCACTACTTATTTCTTCATCCTGGTAGTTTATGTAAATTATGAACAACCGATCATTGTGGAACGCACATTGTTAGCTGCTTGTCAACCATCCCCCCTCAAGGAAGGTTCCTTGATGTTGGTGAGGGGCTCTTGATTTAGGGAATTGGATCTGTGCTCCAGTTCCCCGAATTAAGCCTGAATGCCTTCCACATCCCTCCCCCAGGCGCTGTATAATCCTCCGTCCATAAGAAAACATTACCATCTCATTCCATGTACTGCTACATTTTTTAACTCTTTTGTGGGTGATTATCAAAATCTTTAATGAAATTCAAATAAACAACATCTCACTGTTTATGAAGATCCAGTGTTTCTAATGTTTCTAATGTTTCTAATGTTTCTAATGTTTCTAATGTTTCTAATGTTTCTAATGTTTCTAATGTTTCTAATGTTTCTAAAGTTTCTAATGTTTCTAATGTTTCTAATTTTTCTAATGTTTCTAATGTTTCTAATGTTTCTAATGTTTCTAAAGTTTCTAATGTTTCTAATGTTTCTAATGTTTCTAATGTTTCTTATGTTTCTTATGTTTCTAATGTTTCTAATGTTTCTAATGTTTCTAATGTTTCTTATGTTTCTAATGTTTCTTATGTTTCTAATGTTTCTAATGTTTCTAATGTTTCTAATGTTTCTAATGTTTCTTATGTTTCTAATGTTTCTAATGTTTCTAATGTTTCTAATTTTTCTAATGTTTCTAATGTTTCTTATGTTTCTAATGTTTCTAATGTTTCTAATGTTTCTTATGTTTCTAATGTTTCTAATATTTCTAATGTTTCTAATGTTTCTAATGTTTCTAATTTTTCTAATGTTTCTCATTTTTCTAATGTTTCTAATGTTTCTAATGTTTCTAATGTTTCTAATGTTTCTAAAGTTTCTAATGTTTCTAATGTTTCTAATGTTTCTAATGTTTCAAGGTTTGATCGACCTTTCGTTAGTCAGTTATGAGACAAATTATGTTTCTGAAGGTGCCTTCTAATTATATTCAGTAATAATAATAATCATAATACTAATAATAACAATAATAATAATAATAATAATAATAATAATAATAATAATATCTTTATTTACTAAAAGTACATGTACAAGGCATACAGCCTAGCTGACATCAGTATAGAAAGCCACTTGTTTTACTGACAATTTCGAGCAAATTAGGTCAGTTTTGTCGTAGGATGTGACTCACAACAGTCGACTAACACCCACATAACCTTTTTAAACTGATGGGTGAACAGGGATAGGGACAGCAGGTGTCTTACGGGAACACGTCCCTAATGCTTTCCAGCCGTACGGAAGGAGATTCGAACCCCGGACCTCAATGTGTGAGCTGAGTACCCTTGCAATCGAGCTACAGGACACCTTTAGTGTCCCGTAGCTCGATTTTTAGGCTCTAACTCCTGGATGCTAACACCTTAAAATATGTTATCTTGCAGTAGATAATCACACTATGGCTAGCGATCTCGACACTTTGGGTTTTGGCTATTTTTTCATATAAATCAACTTTTCATTTCGTTGTCCTTAGAGTTGACGATCAACCTCCATTTCTTCAGATTAAGAGTCCACCTAAAACCAGAGACTCATATCCTCTCCTTAGCCTCCCCATTACCCCATATAACGTACCCCATCAAAATAATTTTAAATACTATACAACCCTTCTCTCCACCCCTGAATCAGGAACCTCTCATTCCATCACCCCTCTCAACCACCATCCCAACATGATCCAATAACTACCAAATCAGTCTCACCCTATTTCACACTCAATCACCCCTACTGAATTCAGTGTTTCCATGCAGTGGTCGGAAAAGTGGCAGATGCACTTTAATATAGACAAATGCAAAGATCTAAACATTGGACAAGAAAATAACCATGCCACTTATAAACTAAATAATGTTGATCTTAATATTACTGATTGCCAAAAAAGATTTGAGAGTTCTGGTTAGCAATAATCTAAAACCAAGTCAACAGTGCATAAGTGTTCGTTATATAGCGAACAAAATCCTTAGGTTCATATCATGAAGCATATATATTAGATGTCCTCAGGTTGTTCTTCAGTTCCATATATCTTTGGTTAGGCCTCATCTAGATTATGCTGCACAGTTCTGGTCACTGTATTACAGAATGGATATACATGTATATACACTGGAAAACGTACAAAGGTGGATGACAGAGTCGCTGTATGAAAAATCTTTCCTGCGGGTCCTGAATCTGCACTCTCTAGAAAGGCATAGAATTAGGGGGGATATTATTGAGGTGTATAAATGGAAAACAAGAATAAATAAAGGGAATGTAAATAGAATGCTAAAAATATTTAGCCAATTTAGATTCAGGAAGGATATAGGAAAGCACTGGTTTGGTAATAGAGTTATGGATGAGTGGAACAATCTCCCGAGTACCGTCATAGAAGCTAAGACGTTGTATAGCTTTAAAAAGAGGTTGGATAAATATATGAGTGAGTGTGGGTGGATGGGTGTGAGCTGAACCTGACTAGCTTGTGCTAATAAGTCTGAGGCCATGCTCTTTAAGTGGACCTGACCTGACTAGGTGGGTCATTGGTTTAAGCCGGGAAGTGAAGTGGACCTGCGCGCGTGCGCGTACACACACACACACACACACACACACACCGGGACAGGAGCTCGGACTCGACCCCCGCAACCTCAAGTAGGTGAGTACACACACACACACACACACACACACAC